GTACTTAAGTACTTTAAAATGCATGTACTTCTGAATACTTAAGTATTTTCAAAAGTAAGTACTTCAGTACTTTTACTTGAGTAGATTTTTGACTGAGTAACTTTTACTTGTAGTGGAGTAGATTTGACCATGAGTATCAATACTTTTACTCAAGTACTAGAGTTGAGTACTTTGTCCACCACTGCTTGTGGATCACTCAACTGTTTATCTTCATAAAAAGTGCTGCACAGCAAAGCTGTTTCTATAAGCATGTACAGTTTTATCATTGGCTAAAACAAACTAATTATTTCAGCTCCAGTGTTTTTGTACATACAAAAACGGTCACAGAAATCTGTATCATCAAATTCAGTCAGCGGGTTGCTTCTGTCTCAGACAAATCTCCTTTCTGGTCTTTGTGGTGGTGTTCCAGCACCATTGATGTAGTACAGTCAAGATAATCCATTTTGCCCATCCACAGTGAAGCATACAGCCTTTAATCTGAAGTTAAACCTGCCTCTGGCCATGTTTATTTAGACCTGGATTAGCTGGTCTTCCTCTAAGAAATAAGATTATTTAATTCAAGACTAGGACAAGTCTGGGACTACAGTAATCCATAACTAAGAAAGCTGTTTCAATAAAACCTGGTTTAAAATGTGATTTAATCTAGAACTAGACTTAACCCCTGTACGGGAAACCGGCCCTAGAAGATTGCATCTAATACATTATGTTTATACACTGCCTGGCCAGAAAAAAGTGTTCACCTGAATTTAAATAAAGTCTATGATGTTGGATTAGGGTTAACAACAGTATCTGCTCAAAGAARGAGGTCAMCTGACTAKCTGAATATAGTCCTGGGAAGTTGTAATTTCCCTGTTCCCATTGGTAGGTTTAAACTGGAACACACCCTCCAGTGGTAATATTCCACTCATAAAGTGGAAGAAATGAAACTGCCCCCAGTTTCGGTTTCAAGATGGCCGCTGCTCGCAGCTTTAGAAAGTTAACTCCGTAACTTTTACTATTAATTATCTTAACTTTTTTGTGCATGTTTAATCGCTCGCAAAAGTAGTGTGTTTTCTGTGCAATACTGTAATTATTAAATTGCAGTATTGTTTTGTAAAGTATTGTAAATTATTGTCTGAAAGTGTATAGTGCTTTAGGGTCCTGAGGGACTTGATAAAGTGCTCTGTAAGTTCAGCCTGAGAGGATTTGGCAGACTGACCCAGGGCGCAGGCAAAATCCAAGATTCAAAAATAAACAGCTGTCAAGGCAGCAGAACTCACAGAAGCAGAGGAACATGAAGGACACCTCACTGGCTGAGGGAAGCAGCACAATGAACGAACACAGACTGAGGACAGGACACCAAATGCAAACAAATTAAGAGACAATCAGAAACACCTGGAGAGACACAAGAGGGATCAGGTGTGAGAGGGCAGGGCTGCAGGACAGAGAAACACTGAAAACACTGAAAACACTTGAAAATTAAGGAGAAAACAAACACAGATCATGGCACAGTCCATTTACCATTGGTTTGAAATGTAGGTGGGAGCTCGGCTCGCGCCCGTTAATGAAGATGATGTAATTCCAAATCTATCCTAGATGTGAGCTATGACTGTGATTGGTTCCCCCTGAGGAGCATAGTGTGGCTTTACAAAGCTGTGCTGAACCAAAAGTAACAAGTAACTAAAAGCTTCCTAGAAATGTAGTGGAGTGAAAGTAACAAGTACACAAAAAAATAATTACTCAAGTAAAGATACTCAAAAAATGTACTTAATTACAGTACTCAAGTAAATGTACTCCACTACTGTCCACCACTGAATAAAACATCTTTATATTTAAGAAATTTGATTTAATACACACAATTTTATGTCACATAACTGGCAGATTTTCTTTTTAATTTGACTCAACTAAATGGAAACAGGAAGTGYCATCAAAGGGGAACTCTCAAAACTCTGACTCYTTTTCATCTCTCCCTGACAGAGACTCAAAGTAACCTAAAAAAGAGACATATCAGATTCTTCACTACAGCCTGTGTTTAGTTATTGTAGCAGTGCTCTGTTCACGTTCKAACAGTCCCCTTGGACATCACTTCCTGATCCTTCACTTGTAAATATCTCAACAACTTTRCARGCATCCTGAAAGTGAAACCAGGGAAAACCCACAGCAGAGYTGTTTAGATTCGTTTACCCAGGTATCATTTCAAACACAAAGGCAAAGAATGAGGGAGGATCAAACGGCTGCTTCTAGGAATTAGAGACACTGAATCCTCGAAGCCACGCCTGCCTCCATTCAGAGGTTCTGTTGTGTCTGCTCATCACAGAAACATAAAGTCTGCTTAGAACAAAAGCAGCCTGTTAAAATGCAGATGTAACTTCATGACGTTCCTTCAGTTTATAGGAATGTGTTGGAGGATAATTTCATAAAATGGCTCCATGCTGTCTGCTTGTTATAAAATGTCACTCACGGATGTTGAGGCGTGATTAAATTTTCATGCCAGCACTTTTGGCTGACAGACAAGATTTTACCCTCAACAGGAAGTGTGCAACCTTTTAAACGTATAGCGCCAACCACTTCCTGAAGACTGAAGCAAGATTTTCTTTGTATTCACTCAGAATGAAGAAACATGTGGTCACAGTTAGATCTGTGTGAGCCACACACACACACACACACACATCCTTGTACTTGTATCAAACTGAGGACTTTGTATTGACTTCCATTCATTTTTGTGACTGCATTTATGCCTTACCCAGACATTTTCTCTAACCCTAATCATTACTAGTCTATTCCTACCTCTAAACTTAACTAAAACTTAATTCACACCATACCTCTAAACCTAACCAGTAGGGCATGGTAGATCTGCAAATAAAAAGTGAGGACCCGGAAAATGTCCTCACTTTGTTGGTTAAAAACATGACAGTCCTCACTCTGTAGTAGAAACAAGTCCACAGAGAGGGAGAGGGAGACCTGCTGAAGTTTGGTTCCACTCAAAAAGAGGATGTAAGCTGTAATGGACTGCAGTGGTCATTCCTGTGGGACTGGATCAGAAAACCACCAGGAGGATGTGAACATGAACACTTCCCCCACCGGCTAACTGTCTGTTCTGCATGTTCTGTCATGTTCTGCCACAGCTTCACGTTGTCTTTTCCCTCGATCGTTTTTCTTTACCCTTGCACCGATCTCCTTTGTCCACACACCGTCCTGCTGCACGACTCAGACATCAGAGGAAATCAGCTCCTCTCCAGAACCGCAGAGAACCACAGAGGGTTGTTTCTGCTCCTTCAGTGGAAGCAGAGAGTTCTAGGAAGGAGAAAAGAGAATAAAGGAGAGCCAGGCTCGGACTGAAAGGAGGAGCCTGGAGGAAAACTGACAGTGGAAGGGAGGGGCACGGGGAGGTTTAACAGATGAGTTCTTCTTTTGCTTGAGACAAACAGGAAAAGCTGGTGGAACTTTGTGGACTGTTTCGCCGACCGACAACATGGATAACTTCCAAACCGTCCTCAAGTTCATCATGAATCAGAAATCCACTATTGGCTACAGCTTCATGGCACTCATGACCATTGGTGGGGAGCGAGTCTTCACCTTGGTCGCCTTTCAGTGCCCGTGCAACCGGGAGCAGAACTTTGCGTACGGGATGACGTTTCTGCTGGGCCCGGCCGTGGTGCTGTTTGTTTTCGGGCTGTTCTTCAGCACCAGGTTGTGGAGGCTCTACACGGGCTGCTGCCTGAACCCGATGAAGCTGTGTCCCCGGGGGAACTGCTGCGGATGCTCCAGGGTCCTGATCAGCATCCTCACGGGGGCCTGTGTGGCCCCCGTCATGTGGCTCTCTGTGGCCCTGCTCAACGGGACGTTCTACGAGTGTGGCATCAGCGGTCTGGACAATAACCTGGTGGTGGACCTGTTCTGTAAAAACAAGACCCTGAAGTGCCGGGAGGAGCTGGCCCGAGTGCCCTGCGACCGCTCCAAGCTGTCCCCTGATGAGCGCATGGATCTGCTGCTGATGTTCAGAGCTCAGTCTCAAGTAAGAAACACCTGAACTGGACTGTACCGAGGCTCAGCAGGGAACTAAACAGAACCTGCACGGTTTTATCTCCTGTTGTTCTGAAGGGTTGCAGCTGGGTCTGCCTGGTGTTAGGTTGTTTACAGCAACTACTGGGGCCACTCAGAAAACTAAAGAAAAAAAACTGAGGACGATCTTTTTTGGGTTAAATGTTGAGATTAATGTATAAAAATAGTTCTGAGTGAACTTTTCCAGCTACAAAGTAACAACACAGACATTTTTTCTTGACCAAGTCCGAGGTGTGGCCTTTAATACGCCTGCTGCAGAGTCACAACGGGACTTCCTGAAAAACTTCACAATAAGAGTCTCAGAGTGTTGAAACTGACAAAACCAATTCCCGGTGTTAGTTTAATCCTTCTCAGGTAAAAGAACTGCTTAGAGC